TTTGTCAAGAACGAGTTTTGAGCGTTCGAGGCGACTTTGGGTGTTCCGTCGGGCCTCGATAAGCGAGTCGAGCAATAAGAAAAGTGATTTCGAGAAAGCACGAGAAGAGGAGAAATCGTCTGTGGCGTCGATTTATTTTTCGAGGTCCCGATCATTTATTTAGAGAAGCTCGATTTCGAGGGTGCATATTAGTAAAATAAATGAAAAAGCCGTTTACGTGGGTCCCGCAAGGTCGCGTGTGACTTCGGTTTACCGAGAATCGAGTTGGGACGTGTAGATGATTCAGGCACAATGTCATGCGGGGCATTTATCGAGTATTTTCGGAGTTCTGAGAATTTAATTAGAGAAGCTTGAATTCCCATGGGAATAGTAGCAAAATGAGTGAATTTGTCAAGGACGAGTTTTGAGCGTTCGAGGCGACTTCGGGTGTTCCGTCGCGCCTCGATAAGCGAGTTGAGCATTAAGGAAAAATACTTACGAGAAAGAACGAGAAGAGGAAAAGTCGTTTGTGGCGTCGATTTATTATTTTGAGATCCCAGTCGTTTATTTAGAGAAGCTCGAGTTCGAGGCATATTAGTAAAATAAATAAAAAAAGCCATTTACGTGGGTCCCGCAAGGTCGCTTGTGACTTCGATTTACCAAGAATCGATTTGGGACGTATAGATGATTCAGGCACGATGTCATGCGGGACATTTATCGAGTATTTCAGAGTTCCGAGCATTTAATTAGAGAAGCTTGAATTCCCGTGGGAATAGTAGCAAAATGAGTGAATTTATCAAAGGACGAGTTTTGAGCGTTCGAGGCTTCGTTTTTCCCGATTCTTTCAATTTTTCGTCTATTCAAGAGTAGTTATAAATCTTGACTATCATTTTAGTTAATTTCGAACTTGGACGAGTCCGAACGGCCCCAAAAAGCAAAGTCGTGCGAAACATGTTTAACGTATTGGTCAAGAGCTTTGGGAGAATATGATTTCAAGAATAATTTGGCCATTGAAGCATCATTGTATAGAGGGGTTCGTTAGCTACGTATAGGAAAAAATGGAACTCAATTCTGAGTTCAGACGAGCCCAAACGAGCCCGAAACACAAAATACAAATCACCCATTAACAAATCCTCCATTGACCATCTATTTATATAATGAGTGATTTGTTAATTATTTAGCCCGTGAGGAATAGACGTAGTCCAAAAATTGATCAGACAATCATGGTTGTGTAGAAGGGTTCATCGGCGACATATAGGAAAAGCGAAAATCAATTTCAAGCTTCGACGAGTCCGAACGGGCTAAAAAAAAGTCACGCGAAACACGTTTAATATATTGGTCAAGAGCTTTGGGAGAATATGAATTTCAGAATAATTTGTCCATGTAAGCATCATTGAATAGAGGGGTTCGTTAGATACGTATAGGAAAAAAACGGAACTCAATTTCGAGTTCAGACGAGCCCAAACGAACCCGAAACACAAAATACAAATCACCCATTAACAAATCTCCTCCATGGACCATCTATTTATATAATGGGTGATTTGTTAATTATTTAGCCCGTGAGAAATGGACGTAGCTCGAAAATTGATCGGGCAATCAAGTTCTGTAGAACGATTCATTGGCAACATACAGGAAGAAGCGGAAATCAATTTCGAGCTTGGACGAGTCCGAACAGACCCAAAAGGCAAAGTCGCACGAAACACGTTTAATGTATTGGTCAAAAACTTTGAGAGAATATGATTTTAAAAATAATTTGGCCATGCAAGCATCATTGAATAGAGGGATTCGTTAGCTACGTATAAGTAAAAATGGAACTCAATTCCGAGTTCAGACGAGCTCAAAACACAAAATACATACTACATATTAATTTTTTTTCATTAATTTTTTAAATAGAAAACGTATTATCAAAATACATTTTATTTATTAATTTTTTAAATATAAAACGTATTATCAAAATATATTTTATTTATTATTATTTTTTAATTTAAAAAAAAACATAATTATAAAACGTATTTTCGGAATACTTATTATTAAAAAAAATAATGAGAATACATGCTTTTTATTTTTGTCCACAATTTTTTTTTTTTAATTTTTGTCCAGTTATTATTATTTTTTTTTATATATATAAACTACCCTTGTAAAATCATTCCAAATTACTAAAAAACCATACATTGCTCCAATTGTTAAATCGGACCGGAAATTTTGGTAAACGAAATAAGTTGCTCGTGGGCTTGGCTGGTAAAGGCTCGAGCTCTACATATTAAGATTCGAGTTCCATTCATTAAGAGCACCCACAATGCTTTGTGTCTCTTTTTGCATATGTGTCAAATAAATAGATTTAAGTCCATAATGACATGGACAAACCCAAACTAAAAAATCCAAAATCTATCTAATGCAAAATAAAAAAGTACTAGGTCTAGAATACTAAACAACCAATAAAAATATAGTAAAATAAATGCATACAAAAAAATGTTTTTTACCTTTAAAAAGAAAAAGAAAATTGTGAACAATTAATGACTAGATGGGTTTGCACTTGAATCCAAAATAGACCCAAGTGTAAACTTAGTCTCTTTTTTCTAGTGCCACATAAGTTAGACTAGGTCCACTTTTAATTGCATTGTGAAATATTTTTTTATAAATTAGTTTAATTTTTTACATGACATATAATTTTTTTAAGAGACCCAAAACATTGTGGGTTCGAAATATTTATTTGTCCAACTCAATAAAGGCTCGAACTCAAATCCAAACTTTATAGGGCTATTGTAAGTGAAAAAT